CTAAAACAACCCCCCCCCCCCCCAAAAAAAAAAATATATATATATATATATATCATTCGGAAGAAAATTGAACAAGCTTCATTTTGTTTTTAAAAAAAAATTAATATTGGCCCAACGGGGCCCAAGTAATTAAACTTCAAGTGAGTCGAATTCAAACCGAATTAGACTTATAACCCTTGTGCGATTGACACATTGACAAAGTAGGTCGTGAATTTTGGAGGTTTTCTTATTTTATAGTTTGGAGAATCGCGGCAAATGAATTAGCTTGTGATTACCAAGTGACCAATTATTCTTTGCTTCGCAACGGAAGGTCGCTGCCAGTGCCGCCCTACTTAGTTGGAATGAAAATCTTTCGGAAAAATTGGAATTTGGATTCGGACTCAATTTTTATGATTCCTATCAGATCCGACTCATCCGGAGGGGGTTCCCAGGGCTAAAAGCAAAATTATGAACTTTTTCCCCCATTCGTTTCGCGGGTCATTTCTTGCTGTCTGCAAGACGCGGGACAGGCTCTCGAAATTCGGAACGGATTACTCTACTAAGAAGGTCAATGTTTATTTTTATGTGTAAGATGTAAGAATTAATCTGTGATTAATGACATTGACCCTTTTCCCAGAAGTAAAACCCCCAACGAGATCCAAGAATTTAGTTGCCTTACTATCTTGCTACACCAATAACCGAAAGGTGGGGTGGAGAGGCCCACGTCAGAAAGACAGAAAATTCAGTCGATAATTACTTCATAATGAAGAGAGCATATTCAGATTCATCTTGTGCTGAGCAGAAAGAGGGCCAATAGTCCGTTCCTCCAGCCTACCCAGATTGCCCCGCTGAAATGTCAAGATCTCTACTCTTCATAGAAAACATTAAAATTCATTTCGCAAGATCCTTCCCGAAAGATAAATGGCGAAAGTCAGACAGCCTCTTGAAACGGTGACAATTTATCATGGTCAGTGGTCGATTTCGTCGGTATTTCACCAGAATGAAATGCGTTGATACGTCACTCCGAAGTGCTACTAGGTCATCCCTAGAGTACATCTAGATCACCATGCATGCGCTACAAGGTATGCCTCATGCAGCTGTTGTTCCTTCTCGTACATCTGATAATCTTGGACAAGATCGTTTCGAAGCTCCGTGCCTTTTTCACGGTGATGGACGAAATTCATGCAATGTTTTACTGCATTGTGATCATATCTTCTTGAACCTTCCTCCAATCAAAGTTTCCCCATCTAGCTTCTCTGCACACGATTGAAGTATAATTATATAGGCTACTTTAGCATCCATGTCACCATGACCTCCAGGATTTTCTGGCTTTTCACTTCCGAGTGCCAAGAATTTGTTTTTCCTCAGCCGACAGGTGTGGTTCTTGGATGAGAACATGGGTTACTTGTACCGACCCTTTCAGGTTTTGACAGACCCGCAGTAAGGCTACTCACTCTTACTGCAGCCAATGATGCTGTAAAAAAAAAAGAAAAAAAGCCGCCATTCTCGTAGCGATTAGCTATTATACATGGCTGGACATTTGAGTTGCTTTCGCGGAATCCCTTAACGGTGAAAAATCGACATCAACAATGCGTTCTTCCTACTTTTCAAGAAAGAATATGCAGGACGAACCCGAATGGATGCTTACATCTCAGTGGAAGCTACCTGGAATGTTGGAGGAAATTGCCCTCTTATCTTCCTCGGACAAGTCTCCACTCCATCATTTCGCTGTTTTGAATGTCAGACGGAGGAGACGGACCCCTACGCTCTCGCTCAAATTCTCATAAGCCGTAGCATTTCATTCTCCCTAGGGGACAGAACTCTTTCAATCCAAGTCGCAGGTCTCCGTCTGAAAGCTATCTTGCCTTCCGGTGACATACTCCCTTTATTACGGCTCATAGTGGCCATGTCACCACTTTAAATCGAGATTTTTTCTTTAAAAGAAATTTCGGCTGGTCTTGATCATGTTGGACTAACAGGATTTCCTTGTCAATCCGTTCGGTTTCTGGCTGCAGTAAATTCTTCTGAGATCATAATTATACCCAAGTCAGAGTTCTTTGGCTGAAATCCTTGGCTTGGACATGCTGATGTGTACAATGCTGAATTTATTAATTCTATAGTTCTTGGAATTGGACTTGATGCATAACATAGGCGCAACCAGTTCGGGATTTGTGGTTTTTGATTCGTTCGGAATTTTTATGATGGATAATGATCGATGGACATCTGAAGGACTGAAAGGCCTCTGCCTTTCATCTCTGGTCTATCGGCAAAAAATGCCCGAGAAAAGTATAGTAGATTTAGTGCACATATGACCCTTTTCCCTTTCGCTAAAGTGGTAGTTTTGGGGATATATGTAAGGGAGAAACCGGTCTTCAACGCATACCATTTGTCCTCGCTTCCAAGAAGACGGTCGTTGGAATATTCCCTCTTCGTATGGAGTTTGATCAGTGGCGTATTTTGACTGAAGGGTTGAGGGGAGGGTCCAATCCCACCCGAGCGATATCAGGAGAGAAAATTACCTCCAAGGGTACCCGCCAGGGCCCCCTGTAAAATACGCCACTGAGTTAGAAAAATAATTTTTTGCCATGGTAGACCACTTTGCCTTTCAGCCCTTCGTTTGTATGATTAGATGAGACTATTTGTGACTGAACCCATTTCAAAGCTACCATCCATGTCACACGGTATTCAGTGCCATATTGATGTAACTGCATCATGTCTGTATTGTGTTGAAGGCCATCGGGACCACACCCCCCTTTATTGAGGGGAGGGGGAAGGGGAGGGATCAGAGGCGTCTTCTTTCATCAGCCGTGGCCTTTCCTCCTCCATTCCTTGGCGTGATTTCCTTGCGAGAGCTCACTCAGTGCTGCCAGCGTCCTTCTGGTTGCTCGCTGTGTGACTTCTCTTTCTAGACCTAGATCTCGTCTTATGTCTGACACTATGAGAGCGGTTTTCCAACTGTGAGGCGCCCCCCCTTGGGGGCCAGTAAGGTTTATTTAAAGCAGCAAGCAAAGAAGTGACTGGAGTAGAACCAGGAACAAGTGCTCACAAGTTAGTCCCCTCTCCATTTTAGTCGGAGGAGGAGCACGATGGGGTGGGGTGTTCTTGAAGAGGGGTTTTTAAATCCGTAACAAAAAGTTTGAAAACCTCTGGATTAATGTATGTTTATCCTTTTCACTAAAAGTTTTAAAACCGCTTTCCTAATTTATCGCTTTCTTATACGAATAGGCAGGGATAGGGTATGTGGTCGGTGTGAGTGAGAAATAGCATGTATGGGATGATGAATGGGACAAAAGTGGAGCGTGCCCAAGGGCAAGGTCAAGGTCAAGGTCGATGTGAGTCGGGGCAGAATGTCGTCACTGTGGTCCTCGGAGCCCAATGGGGAGATGAGGGAAAAGGGAAAATTGTCGACATGCTCTCCCTTGGTGCCGATATAGTGGCCAGGTGTCAGGTTTGTTTTCTCCTTTTTTTTTTATTTCCCCTCCCCCAAAGTTTCGCTGATGCATTGGAATTTTCTACAGGGAGGGAACAATGCAGGGCATACCGTCGTTGCAGAGGGGAAAGACTATGACTTCCACCTCCTCCCCAGTGGTCTGGTTCACAAGAATTGCAAGGGTTTGATAGGCGAGTTTTTATTTCTTATCCCTGTGATGTATACAAAAAATCTTGTACTCATGAGCATGCTGAAGGCTAGTTTGAATTTCGCCGAAAATTGTGGAATGGAATGGTTCTCTTGTTACACCGTTCGTGGATGTGCGGGCTGAGGGCCAATTGAGCTTGTGGCCAACCTCCAAGTAATGGATCCATGCCAACAACAGGTTGAGTATAAAGGAAATGCAGTGGCGCAACCAAGGGGAGGGGGGGGGGGGATTCAGAAGGATTGAAATCCTCCAGTGTGATTGGAGCAGACAATTTCGCGACCAGTCAAGTTCCTACTCAGCTCACACCCTCCGTCTCCGTCCCCCCGCCAAAAAAAGAAAACTCACATATCACTCTGAGTGACTTTGCATCACTGATGAAACTCCCATCTAAACATGTTCTCTTCCATTATGAAATCCAGGGAATGGTGTGGTTCTCCATCTCCCTGGCTTGTTTGAAGAAATCGAGAAGAATGAGGCTATTGGCCTCCAAGACCTCAGAGAACGATTACTCATATCCAACCGCGCTCATCTTGTTTTCGATTTCCATCAGGTCCTCTTTTAATTATTTTCCACTTAACCTCTTTTGCATCATTGGATGCTTGCACTCTGGTACATTTGGTACTTGATACAGATGGTGGATGGATTTCAAGAAAAGGAGAAAGGGAAGCAAAGTCTTGGCACAACCAAGAAGGGCATCGGACCCACATACTCCTCGAAAGCGACTCGGAATGGCCTTCGAATAGCAGATTTGGTTGGGGAATTTCAGCATTTTGAAGAAAAGTGAGTTAAGAACTTCCTTCAATTCTTGGCAGACGCTCATCTGACAGAAGCTCGGTTGCATAGGTTCATCAGTAGCTTTTTTCCTATTGAGATAACGGTGTGAAACGTGAGATGTAGGTTTGCCAAGGCAGGTAGCAGTTGACGCCATTAGTGTGCATCAATAGCAAAGATTGGCACTTGTCCCATACATGCCTCATGCTTCCTATTTTGTAGTGGCAAGTTCGCCCATTCGTACTCATGTGTTGTGCATGCTGAAACGGCAAGATTGCAAGATTGATAAGAAACCAAAGGATGAAACCATGGATCTGGAATTAAAGTGAAATTGGAAAAAGTTTTAGGGTTGTACCAATTGTGATCTTTGGCCCTTAGACTGACGGCTGGTTATGACATCGCAAACATAGGATAGTGTCGGTGAACATGCCGATTGTGGCAAGTAGATGGGGGAGGAGGAAGACAACAAATTATTGTATGACTTGTTTTATTTTTAAAAACTTTTTTTTTCCGACAACCTAAATTAGATTCACAACGCTGAATTTCTATATCATTCTTCTGCTGGGAGCAGGCCGAACGCATCTGTGAGTTTTATTATTATTTGCCGAAGGGGTGCAAGAGACGTAATATCTCCGCCAGAAAGTGCAAATCCTAACCTATGGGCCTAGGTATTCTTTGAAAAGAGAGTGGAAATCCGTCAGGATGCCCGATGTAAGCATTCGATTCGATGCAAGTGTCAGCTGCTGGGAGAGATTTCTTATTCAGTTTTTATGTAATGTGTGGATTTTAGTTGCTTGGAAAAGGAGACCAGAATCAGCGTGAGCCTGCGTTTTCTTAGACAGGAGTCCGGCTGCATGCGGGAATCCATCGTTTGACCCACGTCTGAGACACAGTAATAGATTTAACCATGCCTGTGCTGTGTCAATTTTTGCTTGAAAGAGACCGGAAGAAGTTGCTCCTATTGATTAGAAAAGAGACAGGGAGTTCACCATGGGACGCATTCACCCCGCGCGTCTTTCTTTTTTGGTGAGGGTAGGAAGAGGTGCTTTGCCATCAGCAGGGCGAAAACCTTCCGATGCATTCTTACAATTCTAGTTCTAATTTGTTAAAGTTAGCGATGTTAATTTCTATATATATAGGGTGGTTATAAAAAAAAACCGCTCTACTGTTTTCTATGAGAGAAACACAGTTTCATAAATTCAGCAAATAAACTACATTGGATACGCGATCGATTATTGACAGTTAAAAGGGGTGGAAATGCTTGCCAGCTTTTTTCAGCACTCCTGGCTAAGTCGTGTAATGCCCATTTAGAGGTGAATTAAAGGTGCTTAGAGGTAGATCATACCACCTCAAGTGAGGCGATTACTTGTGCTCGACCGTCTCAGAATTCAATGAACTTTTCAACGAACAGTTGGATCCAGCTGATACTTGACAGAGAGTTTCATGAGTCAAAGAGGTTTATTTCATTTCCGCAAGATGGCGCCGTATCTCGATGGAGGGCGCTGTTGTTGATTGCTGTACATTGAGTACATGGGATGTACTCAATGTAACATACCTGTCTCAACTCCACATAATTTATGGCAGCTATCATTTGGTTTTTTGACTGACTAGCTCAGTTTCATAGTGAATTGAAGGCAGAATTTTCTGGTTGTATAGCAAAAGGGGCCCCTGTTCTTTTTGAAATGATTCTGGCATGTTGTAGCATCTCTACTAATCACATAGGTCCCTGAAATTGATTAAACTTTAGAAAAATACATGAATAATGAGTATTTCTGAGGGCATATTTGACCTCATTAGATTTTACCTTTTTAACATCTTGTTTTGCAAATTCATACGGCATTTACGAGGTGTGGCAATAAAGTTCCAGGACTGATTTTTTTGTGAGTCTGTCAATATCACAAAAATTATTTCCATTCCAAAGACTAATAGATTAAACTGTTGGGCAGTGTAGTGTCAGTCCTCATCTGACTAGCATCTTGAATGAGAGTTTGGCTGGCAATGTAGTAACTATTTATCCAAAAAAAAAAGAGAATTTTAAGCTGTTATTGGGAATTTTATATTATTGTTGTGAACAGACTTCGCAGCTTGGTGAATCTTCACAAGCGCCTGTATGCAGACCTTGACATTGATGTGGAGACAGAGGTGGAGAAATATCGAGTCCTGGCAGAACGGATCCGTCCATTTGTGACCGATTCTGTGTTGTACCTGAACTCTGCCCTGAAAGAAGGGAAGAACATTCTCATTGAAGGAGCCAATGCTGTGATGCTGGACATTGACTTTGGTTAGTTGAACTTCTTTATGCCTAAAAATCTGCTAGGTATTTTTGGAGACTGGAATGAGACCTCTGACATTACCTGCAGGCACGTATCCATATGTGACATCATCAAACTGCAGCATTGGAGGAGTCATTACTGGCTTGGGAATTCCGCCAAGAATCATTGGTGAGGTATATGGTGTGGTGAAGGCATACACCACACGTGTCGGAGATGGCCCCTTCCCTACTGAGCTCAAAAATGTACTCATTCCCACTCTCTGTAATGCACCCCCCTTCCCAGCTACAAGGAATCATCTCAAGTTCTACAGTTGTGACTTGTTTGAATTTTGCCTTCCACATACAGGATATTGGTGAGTATTTGCAAAAGAAGGGATTTGAAATAGGTGTGACAACAAAAAGGAAGAGAAGGTGTGGCTGGCTGGATCTTGTTGTTCTGAAGCACTCTGTTATGGTCAATGGATATTCAGCGTGTGTTCAATTTCTCGCCATCCCTTGCCAATTTTCTCCCTAATGGAAATTTTCAAGCAATAAGCTTATTATCGATTATTTCATCAGGTTAGCTCTAACCAAGTTGGACATTCTGGAAGAGCTGGAGGGACTGGAAATTGGCATACGATATCAGCTGGATGGGGAAGAAGTGAAGTCATTTCCAGCTGATTCCACCTTTCTCTCAAGGGTTGAAGTGGAATACAAAAACCTGCCTGGTTGGAAGTCCCCGATTGGACATGTGAGGAGGTTCCAGGATCTCCCACCTCAGGCACAGGATTATGTTCATGTCATTGAGGACTTTCTTGGTGTACCAGGTATATAAATCCTTATTGCTCATTTAAAGGTGAACCTTTTCATGATCATATTTTCATTTAAACTGAGTTGATATGGTTATTTTATTCTAGTGAAGTGGATTGGAGTTGGGAAAGGCCGAGATGCCATAATTCAAGTATTCTGATGAGTATCTCAGCACTTGCACCTGGAGCATCACCTGAGTGTGAAATTTGCCACACCTTGTCCAATCATGCCTTTTTGACACAAGAATTTGTATGCAATTCTGAATGTACACACTACCACAGCCATTGGAGGGAGAATTTTTTTTTCCAGTGCTAAAATTCCATGATTTTGGTGTCCTCCTGTAGTGCAGGGTAAATTGGAAACTTTTTAAAAAATTATTAATGCGAATAGAAGAAGTGAATCTCAAGGGAAAATCTGAATGAACTGGAGCTTAACTTCTGACTCGATGCCTTTTTTTTTTTTAGTGCATCATGTTCCTTACCTACCTTTCAATACCCAGAGGATCTCATGGTGATCAGGTCATGTGCTGAGAAATAGTCCAAAGTTTTTCCCTATATTGCTATCTTCAGTATCTGTTTAGTTTTCTCTCCTGCAGATGTCTGAAAATAAAGTTCCTGATGCATTTGTCTTCCAGCTCTTTGTATCCCATCTGCTTCTTTGGTGTGATATGGTTGGACTCAAGTGGGCTTGTGCTTCATAATCAAGTATTTGTACGCAGCGGCGTAGGGTCAGGGAGCCCACGTGCCCCTCAACTTAAAAAAAAAGTAAAAGTAAAAAAGAAAAGATACATGAAATGCATTACAGGCCCTGAGTTCTCATGCCGCCCCCTTCCCCCCCACTTAATCTATCCACATTACGCTTATGTTCGTATGACTCGAAACACGTGTTCCATCAGTAACAAGCTTTCTATCTCCCACACACGATTTTATAAGGTATAACAAAAGCTTCCTAGTTTTAACCAATGAATGTCTGTTCTTATTGTGGGTATTTTCAGAAAACTTGCACTGTGCACAGACTGATATGCTCCCAAGAGGTTTCGTTCATTTTCATTGTGCCACGGTGAAATCATGAGCAATTCAAGAAATGTGAATAGATTTTTTAAGTGAACTTGAGCCTATGCTGGAAGTGAAGCGGGGAGACACCGCGTTATGGGTGCTTCTCAACCAGGTTTCATCGAACATTTCTGTTATTCAAATTCATTCTTTGGGCTGACCTCTTCTTGCAGATGGTTTTAATAAGCCTTTTTTTCAGTTAATAGCTCAATGAGGTTAAATTCAAAGAGTTAGCTCTAAGTTTTCCCCCCGATTTTCTCTTTTAGCGTTGGAATGGGAAGCAAGCGGAATCTAATCGCTTCGAGGGGACTGGAACTCCCACTTTCAAATTAAAATATCTTATGAATAACAAGTAGCGTAGGGAAGGAAGGGAGGGGTTAAGAGGGTTAGAACCCCCCCCCCCTCTTGGGCTTCCCGGTCAGTGACACTGATAAGCATATTTCAACCTTCCTTGGGAATTCCAATTTTAAGTATCTCCCTTCGAGGAAAGTCCAATGTCCGTCCACAGACCAAAGATGCCAGACCAAGATTTATTCGAAAAGGTAAATTCCGTGTAGTGGAGCTAAGCGTAGGGTTGGGATGTCTACCTGGCCGCAACTAAAGGTTGCCGACTCCTGCTTTTGAGCATAAGGAATAAACTGAAAATTCCACGAAGGAACGTTTTGGTGATCCCACATGCTGGGTGAAAATTACGTAGTGCGACAAACTCAATGAGTCTTATCGTGAAATCTCATTCGAAAGACTTTGGATCCAATACGAATCAAACCCCCCCCCCCCCCCCCCCCCCCCCCCCCCCCCCTTGCCGATTTCCTGCCTACGCCACTGAATAACCCTTATAGCCGTGCATTGATAAATTTGGACGAAAGTCAGGGGTCAGTTCATGAACATTGAACGTTTCGTGAAAATAGCTCTAGAAGGAGCAGAGACATGTAGGTGGGAGCTCCTTTTTTGCCATACTATGTATAATCTAATCATGGCAGGAGGCAAGGCATCATCACCTGTCTACTATTCGGGAAGTGCCGTCTTATCTACGCGACAGGCCGGCTTCTCCACAGAAAATCCTCGTCCGCCCGCCAAGGCCAGGTTATGAGTGATCCAGTCCAAAGGCCTCAAGCCTCTTGTCCCTTGTTTCAAGCTCTTTCCATTCGGAAAAAACAAAGCTGCGATGATTCACCTCAATTTGGCTGGTTCTTTCCAGTATATTTATTTCACTTCATGTCCTGATCATAGCGAGTCTGAGAATCCAGTTATTTTTACTCCGAATTCCTCTCCTGACGGATTGACAGAGTGGCCCCAAAACATTATCCATACTTTTGAATTTTACTTATTGAAAAGTAGTCCTCGTAAAAACTAAAAATGTGCTTTAAAAATTTTTGTGATAATTTCATGAGTTAGAGATTTCGATTGCTCTTTTTTTTGCTTTAGATATTGTTAACATGTTGACCAAACCTAAAATAATAAAGATTGTCATTAGAATTTCACGTTAGGAAAATGTCCGGAAAATGCAGTATTTTAGAAGTCCTATGACATCTACTTTTCAATATATTGAATTAAAAAATATGGTCAATACTTTGGGCCACTCTGCATAGAGCAACTGGGGGAAAATTGGGCATGTTAATTGGATTTGCTGTTTGCATGTCGAAAGTTCGACGAATAAACCAAAATTTTACATTGCAGCAGAAATTTATTCTCAAACAAGCGTGGATGGCAATACAATTTAATTTCCCATGGCAAATGAGTATAAAAAAAAAAATATATATATATAAAGATGAATCGTTGCGACTACTCATATTCCTCTTCATGTTCGGGTGAAATGGATGGTTAAGGGGGGAAATTTAAGAAAAATGCGAATTAGGCTGCGATGCAATTGTGTTTTAGAAAATGTTATGAAACAATTCAACTGAAAAAGCCACACATCTGAGATTCACCCAGCAAAAAAGAAACGAATATTCTAAGGTGATTGACGAATGTGAAGCAATTTGCTCCGCGGCCCCATCATAATTATGGAATCATTTGAAGCAGGCCTGGCATCTTTTACGAGTTTCGTATTGTCCTGTCGGCGTGTTTCTAAAGCGTTACTAGTATCTGAAATACAAATGAACAGTAAACAATTATCCCATATTATCGTAAAAAGTGGTGGTAAAGTGCCACTCGAGGTAAAAACTCGAGTGGCACTGTCTAACTTATCTGGGAACCTTGGACGAACGTCATGGTCAAGTCGATCACACTAGATACGGAACTTTCCATTAGGTTAAGTTTAGCGTCACAGTAAGCATCGTCAAAATAACAGCGTTGCCAAAAGATTTTTCGTACGTCTCTCTTAACAAGAGTAATATGAAGGAATATAAATAGTTGTCCGTATGAACAGTTCCCCATATTCCCCTAGTCCCCGTATTTTTCCCAGTTACCATTTGACTAATTATTAAATGTGACAGTTTGACAGACTAGAACATGCCCCGTTTTCCTGGGACATTCGTCAACTATTCTGGGCATGGAGCTATGAGTCACAATGTTAAGTTCAAGTTTTATCCATGCCTTCTACTTAAAACATTTTACTGTATTTAGCATTAAACACATTGCCTTTCGCCATGCAGTTCGCTTTAGAAAAAGCCAGGAAGCAATTTCATTGCTAAATGGCTTCCCGATCCGTAGCCAAGTCAATACTTCTCTCCATTTCTCTCGTCCATGAAAGACGCTGTGGTGAATGTGGAATCGTCTTCCGACTCCCCGAGGCTAGGGCGGGCGAAAACTCACGATTGGCTGCAGACGACAAGGGATTTCCTTCTCCTTGACTCTCTTCCTCTTTAGAAATTCCCTCTTCCAGCAGCGGTTTATTCTTCCGAGTAGGCCCATTATTGGAGCTAGTTCCGGGGGAGGTGCACCCCTGTATCTGCGATCGGATTAATCCATGGCAGACCGAGTCTTCCACATGCAACGAGCACGAGTTGCTAATTCTGGGAACACTGGGAACTCCCTCTAATATATATATAGACGATCGTGACTGACTGACGGTAATTCTAACCATGTACTAGAGAAGTTAGATATCTGAAACTTGGTACATTTGTACCTCTTGGTATGCAGAGTTCAGAAAAAATCCGACTTTGGAGGTACATGCCGGGGGGGCACCCATTTTGGGGGGATATGTTTTCAATTATATATATTTGCTTCAGTCAAACGGAGAGTCTTGGAAAGCTGAAACTTGGCATGAACATGCCAACTGAGACACTCAGTTCAGGAAAAATATCAAGTTTCAGATGCATGCCCTGGGGGCATGTTTCTGGGGGGTGACGTTTTCAAATAATTTTTTTGTCCTACCGAATTGAGCAGAGATAGAAAGGTGAAACTTGATACATAAGTATCTATTGGGATGCTGAGTTTTAAAAAATTTAGACTTTGGAGGTAAATGCCCTGGAGGCGCAAATTTCAATTCGAGATGTTTTCGAATATATATATTTTTCTTTAGTCAAACGGATGAAAATGGAAAACTGAAACTTGACATGGACGTGCCTACTGACACTGAATTCAGGAAAATTTTCAAGTTTCGGATACCCAAACAAAAATATGCCCTGGGGGGTATAGTTTTGTTTCGTGACGTTTACAAATAAGTTTTCTTTGTCCTACCGAATTCGGCAGAAAGAGAAAGGTGAAACTTGGCACACCAATAACTGAGGTGGTAGTGAGTTCATAAAAAATTCCAGTTTTGAGGTGCATACTCTCAGGGCACAGCTTCTGGCTGCATCGGCTTTTCCAAATATATTTTTGCACCAGCAAAAAAAGCAAACGCAGTACTCGGTTCTCCGAGTACTGATTTCAGTAAAAATATTCATTTTTAGGTAAAACCCCCGAGGGCACTTTTTTTTGCAAATGGCGCATTTTCCGGAATCCTTTCTGATCCAATGAAAGAGGGAACTAAAGAAATTTGAAAATTGGCTCAGAAGTACCTGTTCGATTGCTGAGTGCAGACCCTACTTTTCAACTATGACCCCTCATGGCAGATTATGATGGGATTTGAAGTTAGGCACACAATAAACAATCGGAGTAATTATTTCGATAAAAATATCGGTTCGTTCTCTCTCGATACACATTTCGAGAGGCACATACTTTTAATACTTTTTGCCACCTTGAAAATAAATGAATGAATGAATCACTATATAGGACCATTTGGAGCGTCGAAGGCGCGACCATAGCGAGTTTGGAATAAAAGGAACAGGAAAAAAAGGGCGAAAGGGGAGTGGGTAGGAAAGGAAGGCTTTGTTGTCCCTGACAACGCGCGTGCTGCATCCACAAAACTAAATTCCCACCAGCCTACGCGGTGTCTCGCATAGTGTAAACAGTAAGTTATGGAATGATCCATTTCAAATGAAGGTTCGGTCGCAGTTCGGCTTCGCCGAACTGTATTGTTTTCATGGCCCAGTTGGCAGTTGCAGTGG